TTTGTCTTTAAGCTTACTAAGAACTTCACAGACATTTACTGCTTGAAATCGCTCTATCGCTCTCTCGTACGATGTACGTATTCTCTGCAGTCTGGAGCCCGAACTACAATAATGGGGCCGAGCGAATTGAATCTGTGCAACGAAGTTTACTTCGCTTCACGCTCCGTAGCGTCGAGGTTTGATTTCCACTTGACACGGAATATGCTTCGCCGAAGATCCTCTGCCTTGTGTAAAATTTCTAAGCTAAGTGTAAAATTTCAGACTTATACATTTTTAGTAACTTGACAATGTTTTCCTTGTTATTTTTGTTTATAACTTAAGTATATGTAGTCTGTATGATCTGTACTTTTTTTTTGATGCAAACATAACAAATAAACAAATAAACAAATAAGCTAATAAGTGATCAGAAATAAGCTTGAAATGCGAAGAAGAAGAAAATTGTAATTAAATGACATGAATTCATAAATCTTTGGAGTCGTCAAAGCATAGACATTAGTAAGACCAGTGGGTCCCGAAGAAACCTACTCAATCATTTGGCTCAGGAAGTACCAGACCTTCGGTCTCAAGCTAATTGAAGCACGCCTCGATACGTAGGAGAATACATGAACCGCTCATTAAACTATGTCAAATTTATAAGGCGAATCAAAACAAACACATACTTTGACAGACTCTAGTACGAGAATGGGATACGCTTATATATAAACTTCAAACAAATGGGCTAGTCAAGTAATGATTTAGGGTTCTGCCAACCTGTTTTCACGATGGCAATGAAGCATTTTCGTGAATGATAAAACAGTTCTTGAAAGGCGAACCATTAAAAAATGAATAGCCTAGGAATGAAGCGTGATTTTGTCTATTGGGTCATCAGAAGCTACCATGACACTTCCTCATTGGGTGATTGGAAGATATCCTGCCGAGCACGGTCAGTGGTGACAGAACGAGTTATTGAAATAGCCAGAAAAAGGATTTGGCAAAAATTCCTGTGTTCTTTACGTAAAATGGCCGATGATTTTGATATTTCGAAACCTTTCCTGCACAGTTTCCTGAAAATTGACCAGCCATTCAAGCATTCAAGAAATGGAAAGTTCATAAAGTTTCAAAATCTTCGAAGAAAATAAGGCTCGAAAGAACATTTCTTCTGCTGCGGAAGAGTTTCACCTATCCGACGAAAAGTTGTTTGCCCTGCAGCAGTCTCATAATGTTCAAAACGACAGATTGTGGGCTTCTACATCGGAAAATGTTCCAAACTACTGCTCCAGTGATGGTTCCTGGATGAATATGCAAGTGCTACAAATTACATCGGTTTTCATAAAAAAAAGCATTAAAGTTAACGCAATATATTATGAAATGGAGTTTTGGAGAAAGTTGTCAAACTTTCATAAGTAATGATTGAAAAAGATAATTATGTTTATAAATAGGACGGAGTGCAATTTCACACAACAAGCTCGTTCAGAGCTGATGCAGAGATAAATTTACCAACTTTTTGACTTTTGGTCTTAAATATTGTCGAAGGTATTCGAGCACAGGGCATCTAATTTGATCTAATTCAAAGCCAATCATACGAATATGGGACGAAATGCGTATGGAAGTCGTGAGTGCCACCTGTGACGCATTTCAGAATCTGAACCTGGTCAAACAAGTTGAAGGCAGGGTAATTCCAATACATATGTTGTAATTAATCAATATTATATTGCCTTTTTGTTAATGCAATTACTAATAAAATCTAAATTACTGATGCGAAAAATTGATTTTACCGAAATCTCAACAGCTGAACTGATGGGGAAAAATTAGGCAATTCGTTTTAATTGCTTTGAAGCTCTCGTTAAAGCTACTTTAAAACGAAATATTTCCACTACAATTACAAGATTTGATCATTGAGAAAGATGCAACGTGCTTTGAAGCTATTTTTGAAAAAAAAAACAGGTTTTAAAGTGAAAGTAAGTCAAAGTTTTACCGAACGTTCAGTTGCTGAGATTTCGGTAGAAAATAACTAAACACGACAGTAAATTCTGTGTGTATAAGTCTCCCATACACTACTTTTTATTGAAATGTGAAACAAAAATGATGTTTTTAGAAACAACCTAATTGGATACTGATGAATTACTCTAACACTGTCAAACAAAGAGCTTGAAAACTTTCTGTTCAGCTAAGTTACAGCCAGATCCAATATGGGTCAGACTGAGCTAAAACAATCAAAACTAAGTAGAAATTACCATGAAATGTTGATTTTTTTTTATGAAACCATGTTTTATTTACCTCAATTTACATGTGTATTCCAAATAAATTGATATTTCGCAGATATGAACCCCTTGGGAGCAGATGAGTTAATATTTCATAGGGTTCATATTTTCAGGGTTCGCAAAGTATTCACAAAAAGTACCTTTTTAAATCTCTTTAAAATTCTCTTGGAATACTCTCAGAAACTTTTTGATATTCTCCTCAAAATTTTCTTGGAATCTTCCTCGTAATACTCTTGAAACTATCCTCACTCTTTAGAAAAAAAAATCTGAATCAGATTCTCTTTGAATTCTTATAATAATTCGTTTGGTATTCTTGACGGAATTATTTTGGAATTATACTCACTGAGTAAAAACAATCTTAGAATACTAACAGGAAACATCTGTTACTATTATTTTCGGAATATCGTCTCACGGTAGATTTAAACATGTACGATAAATGTCGCTTTTGTAATTTGGAGAGCGAAAGCTCTGAACATTTATTGTGTGATTGCGCTGCACTATTTAATGAACGATGCAGATTTCTTGATAAAGGACTCACTGTACCTGTAGAAATTTGGACCAGTATACCCAATAAAGTTGTAAACTTCATTCGAAGTGCAATTCCATATTGGGATAATGCCGATGATCAATGATGAAGACCACTCTACATAGTGGTTGATCATCAAAACACACGGCAAACAGTAAAAAGAGGATACACCACAATAGATCAAAACACTGGTCGCAGTGGTAAATGTCCACCACACGGGAAAAAAAAAACATGTACCGTAAAACGGGGTGAAGTTGATCATTTCATTTCATTTCATTTTTCGTTTTTCAACAATCCTTTTTCTTGATATTGTAATAAGATTATGTGTTTAATATTTAATAAAGTAGATTTAAATAGTACTATTCAAAAGTTTTTCCTAACAAATGATGCATTCTACCACTCTAAATGTACAATTATGTGGAAGGGATAAAATATACAACTTTTAACTGTTTCTAAAAATTCTATCAGCATTAGCATTTATTCTGAGGCAGTGTTCGATGAAATGACTTATTTTACTTAATTTTGAGTCGCTGAATCCGAATCTGAAACCAGATTTCGTTAAAATGAACGATACAAATTAATTTACCTGATAAACTGATGCCTACATTTAGGCGTATGTTCTTCAATTTTGCAACAAAATATGCAGTATTTTAGACTTGACCCCAGAATTGAAAATTTACATTTTTAATCTTATTTTAATTCCTAACAATGAACCAAACATGCCATTTAAAACGTAGATTCGTACATTAGAAAAGTATTTGCTAGTACAGGTTTGGAAGGTTTTGTTTGCGTGTCAAACCTATGGTTGGAAAAACATTTTGGTTTATTGGTACAATGTGATCAACTTGCCCCAGTTTTACGGTACTACGATTTAAATCCGACATTTCGGTCTTTGGACCTTTGGTCGGGAAGGTACAGTTTTGATCCACCGTGATAATCAACCTTGGAATTCTAGTCATAACTACTCCTACTGTTCTCTAGGATTTCTCTTCAGCATTCCCTAAGTAATCTTCCTCTTGGAATGCATACACAATTTGTTATTTTTCCCTAGAATACCTTTGCAACTAACTTCGGATTCTCTTTAAAATCTTGTGAAAATTCTCTACGAATTCACGTCAGAATCCGAGCAGTTTTGAAATCTTCTAAGGATTCCATTTGGATTTCTCCTCAAAGTTCTTAAAATTGATGCGACAAAATTAACCAACTTTTTATTTTATCAAATCTGGCATAGATCATTAGCAGTAAACATTTATGAGTAATTTGACAATTTGAAGTATTAGTAATTTAATTTGTTCAAATTCAATGATTTTGCTGCTACATTTGTCATACAATATGGATACATTGATAATTTATATGCATTACTCACAGTTCTTATTTTGGATCAATTTATGCCTCGACTTATCAACTTTAAAGGTGAATATTTACGGCAGCCTTTTTAAAATTTTCAATCAATCGACCCATCCGTAGATAGAGGAGAAGTTAAGTTAAGTTTTATTTGTTAAAGAGGCTTTCAGCCTGGAGCCTCCATGATAAAAGATAATACAATTAAAACAAATATGAAGAGTATATTAGTTTTGTTTCTAAATCTTTTGACATGCTGCAAAAATATTCGGTACAGTGTGATTAAGTTTCACTCACGTTCACGATATTCGTTGAAATATGTATACAACTACAGTGAAAATGCATTGATGTCTCCACTTTCAAGCTCATTAAATTCACTCACTTGAAAAATCCGATCATACCTCCATGAAAATTCCAAAACTAAATTTTGTACACAAAAACACCACATCAATCCAATTGATTAACCACAAGCAAAACGTGTTCGCACTGAAAACTCCCTTTCGGTTCTCCTCTGCCAACTCCGTCTGCTAAGTTTCACCACCGCAGCAGCGAGCGTTCATCTGACCTTCACATCCCGGTCTCCCGGTTTGATCCGATACCAGCGATATACCAGAACACACACACATCCATACATCAGGGAAGAGAAGAACACACAACTTATGTAACTGTGTGAAAACGAGATGGGATTCATCTCTCCCCTTAACTTGTTCACCACGTACTCCCTTTTTTTTCATCTTCGCAGAAACTCATTAGGTACATTTCGTTTTACTAGTTCTTCTTCCAATTTTCGCTTACAAAAAGTTGGCAATTTCGCAATCTTGCTGAAGGAGAATGGAAAATCGAGTCTAGTTTAATAAAACGTATAATAAAAAGTAAATGCAATTTCTAGTTACCCTTGGTTTATCTGGTTAGCTGTTGTATGATGATTACTTTTTTTAAATAGGCTTTTTAACTAAATACGGTATTTATATAAATCACTAGTAACTGGGATCACTAGGTTGAGATTGTTTAGTAAAAATAACTTTAGCTATAAAAACGAAAAAAAAAAATCAGCAAACCAAACTTCTTCTATAAGAACCACTATCGGCACTTTCCGACTCTTTCTCTTCTTCGCACTCCGATATGTGTATGGACAGTTCTCGATCAATCAGTTAACAATATGAGCTTCACTTGCAGTGTTTCAACCTTACTTGAATAAAAGTTTTCTCAGTTATCAAAATGTTTTTTCTTCTTTTGTCACCACTTTTTCACCTTCCAGAACACCGCACCCGTGTGCCAGGCAGATTATTCCAAAATTAACTTTTCCTTTCCACCCAGAGGGACTTATTCCTAGCTCTGTCTTGAAACGATTCGCTTTACGCTCCCTCGTGGAAACTTCTGCACGCTTTGGGTTCTTTACAATAGAACAAACCGCTATTGGCTGTCTTCTGGAAATAGTGATACACACACACGCAGTGAGTTTTTCTCTTTTCCAGTTGAAATTTTTTCGATTGTAAATAACGCAACGTTGTTCGTCTCCTAAGCTTGGGCAAGTCCTAGCTCTTCCGATGACCGAGTGAAACTGACCGCTCCGAGCTGATGGAACCTCTCTTTAGCTTCCCCGACGAGAAAATCGACGACGACGGTGGTGCGAGGGATATGTAAGTATGGTAAAGGTGAACTGCACTGTTGTTTGATTTCATGTTCTCTCGCTCGCCTCTGCACATCCGGCGCATGTGCACTTGGGAGGGTCGAGAACAGGAGTGATAGGATAGAAATGATAAAAATGAAGCAATCAGTCATTACTATTGTTACGAAAGGTAAGTCAAAAGATTAAATGTGAAATGGATCGACCAACGGGCGAACATGAATTCAGGAATGTCTTAAGAAAAGTTTAATAAAATCATCATCTGCCCTGAAACGCTTCGGATCCATGGTTATCTCAGTTCATTAGGGTGTATTGAAATACGAGATAATTTGAGTAAGAGTAGTAAGGGAAATGAATGTGAGAGCATGATTGTCCTCTATTGAACAGGACAAAATGAAGAGAGAATAATATCCTTAGAAACGATTCATTTATTCCTCTCCTGACAGTTCATTAAACTTTCGGTAACGCCAGCATTATACAATGTTTCAGATTGGCACGGATTATGTATTAATATTTGATGTAGAATGTCTGGATGCGGAATGCTCCTACAAGATGAAAATAAGGCACTGCTGTCATGTCATCGTTAAGTAGATGCTGTGATATTAAATTAACTTTTCTTATCTTAATCTGATTCGTGAAAAAATAGGCTGGTCCAGCTAGCCTCAACTATATTGAGGCGTCAAACATAAACTTCAAATTTTACATAAAATTGTTTTAAACCACCGTGATTATCCGTGATTGATCAAATTTTCATATATGTGATTGTGAAAGCATTCTCGAGAAACAACTCACCGATTCACCTCACCTCATATCCGGAGTACCTACAGTAGTGCAAAATGTCAGCTGGAAAGACTGGGTGGCTGCTTGCTTTTGCTTTGATCTGGGCCCAGTTGAGATTCCTATCAAGTTGCTTGATTTCCTTGTTGAGGCTTCACCGCCATGAGCCCATGAGTCTGCCTCTGCTGCGATGTCCTGCCAAGTTCCAAATCCAGTGCTTGCTTGCAGATTTCTTTTCCAACCCTACGTAGTGTGTTCGCAGTGTTTCACCCACGAATTACAGTTGATATCTGCTTCTGAATTCTGATACGTTGACGAGATTCAATTATGAGGATACCATATACGAATTATGTACTGCAGGCATGCTGAATAAAGATTTGCAATTTTTGCGTGTTCTCTACTGATACGCATCATGTCCCGCTAGCGTATAACAGCACATAGGAGAAGATGTGTTAATAATAAACAAACGGAGTTGTACGAAACACCCGACTTACGTAACTCAGTTAAATCTTATCAGATTTCGTCTGATTTATTATATGTTGTTAACCATAATCACAAACTTATGTGTGCAAAACGTTAGCTTTTATGAGCTTCAGTAAAAAAGATAAAACATAATCCGTATTTATGACACCCACCTGTTGCTAATTTCAAATGAAACAATTTTGGGCATGAAGCTAATATCGACTGATCTTGTGGTTATAAGGTGATGGAACAAATATCCAAATTTATGCTTAGAATTTGTCTCAGCTTTCAAATACTAAACTTGAGTTTGTTTTTTCTAAAACCTGATAATTTAAAAATTCTGCAATGAAAAAACTTTTTGAATCTCTTTTAAACCGTGAAGCATGTTAAAGAATATGAATGATTGACTTCACCTGTTATGTTTTCAACCCTAATAGGAACCTGAGAAATTTTTAAAATTAAGGATGTTTTTATTCAATATATCCCCTAACCCAATCTAATGGAAGAGAGCCATCTGCAATGTCTCGTTTGCGGTAATTATAGACAGCTAAAGTTGTTAAGGTCCACCCACATTAGATCTGAATTTGACGCGTTGCGGCAATGTGATAGCTAAATTTATTGTCTAACTGTCAAATTAGAGTACATTATCTTTGTATGACGATCTTGAATTCCTAGTTGCGTCTTATTAAACTGTAACACCAGCGTGGAAAATAGGCAGCTCTCCTTTCACTTTCACTTTGTTGACTCCATGGTACAGGAAAGATATAGATGTATACATTATTAGCAATGCTGTTTAATATAACTACAACGGGATGGCCGTTCAGAATGGTTCAACGGATGTGAAATTAGGGAACATTTAAAACGATTTAAAGGATTTCAATGCAACATTAATTTTTTTGACTAAAAATTAACACATATGATATCGTAACTTATTTCTGGGAGCATTTACTTGTGTTTTACACAAATACTATCAATTTTCCGTCATATCGCATCTTCACGAGATCTTCGCAAGCATCGCATTTTATTCAGGCTATTGTTCCACATGGTGAAATATGAAAAGCCTATTTTGAAGTGAATTGAACAAAGGGCACAGAAAAATTAAAAGAAAATAAGAATATAGGCAAATTTTCAAGCCTAAGCTCAAAGGGGCGTAATTGTTTTTGTAAACAATGGCTTTAGACGTCGATTTCTCGCAAATTAAAACCCGACCCTCCAAATTACAAATGCCAGCTGATACAGGAAACATTCCTCTGCGTGGTGGTGGCATTAATTTTCATGAGTGAGCTTTCATTCGTGAGAAATCGACGACTAAAGCCATTGTTTACAAATGCAATTACGCCCCTTTGAAATGTTGGCACTGAATTGTCGTATGGGCAAACAATCACAGTTTTGCTAAAATTCGGCCTTTTTGGATCTTGTATTTTTTTCAAAATGGCATCTTTGAAATTTTTCAATATATTAATATATGAGCTTTTTAAGTTTAAAAAAAAACAAGGGCATTTTTTATTTGTTTATTTATTATCAATCATGTTTGTAGTTTTGTAACATTGATTATCTTAAACAATTGTTCACTTAAATTCATCCAGCTTTGCCTTAGTACAGTATGTATGAGCATATAAATAAGACGGATCAAGAGCTGAAGATCGTCGTCTATTATAATGGAATCGAATTTAACCTGGCATTTTGGTACTGAGGCAGCTCTTGCTTCAACTATAGATGTAGTCAGAGATTCAAGAACATAATTAATTTCATCTTTGGTTTGCAAAGGAATGTTTGGATCGAAGTTATATTCCATAAATGTTCGTAATTACTCCCAATCAACTCTATGGTAATTGAAAGTAGAGCTGTTGGGATTACAAATTATTCTTGGGATATTTCAAAAGTTACTGGAAGGTGATCAGAACCGAAGTCAGCATGGGTAACCAATTGGCTGAAAAGTTGACATGAATCAGTTAAGACCAAATCAATAGTTGAGCGATTTCTTGCTGAAGAAAAGCATTTTGGGTTTTTTGGATATTGAATAGTGTAATAACCTGCAGAGCAATCATCAAACAGAATATTACCATTGGAATTGCTTTGAGCATTATTCCATGAGCGGTGTTTTGCATTAAAATTACCAATAATGAAGAATTTAGACCTAGGTAGGGTAGGTTTATGAAGGTCACCCTTGAGAAAATTCTTTTGCTGGCCTACGCATTGGAATGGCAAATAGGCAGCTATAAACGTAAGTTGTCCAAATTTTATTTCAACAGAAACTCCCAAAGTTTCAAAAACTTTGGTTTCAAATAAAGAAAGAATATTGCGTTTGATTCGTCTATGAACAATGATGGCAACGTCACCACAGGCTCCTTCAAGACGAACATTTCTATAAATGAAATAATTTGCGTCCCTCTTACCTTATGGTCAGGTTTAAGGAACGTTTCAGTTATAACGGCAATATGCACGTCATGAACTCTCAAAAAATCAAATAGCTCGTCTTCATTATCTTTAAGAGATCGAGCTTTCCAATTTAAAATATTTAATGGTAAAAAATCCATTGCAGAATTTCAAAGTCATAACAATGTTGCTCGCAAATTTTACTTCAGTTTGAATAGCATCAAACATGGAGTTGGATTTAAGCATATCAGAAATCATTTCATTTAATGATTTCTGTAAAAGTTCCATTTCCGTTAGAATTACGTTGGTTAGTATTTTGATTTCTACCCGCTGCAATAGCAGCATAGGTAGCTCCAATAACTCGCTGAACATTGTTAGCAGCGAGGGGAGTAGGAATAGATGAAAATTTGAAGCAGGGGTGATATTTGTATCTACGGGTACGAATGTAGAATTTGTTCCTCGCTGACGTGGAGCGTTTCCTATCTGATGCTTATAACGAGATTGTAGGATCACTTTGCGAGTCTTACATTCCCAAAAATTGGATTTGTGGTTTTCACCACAATTTGAACATTTAAATTTCTTAGAATCTTCCTTCACATGAGCGTCGTCCTTTGCGTGAGAGGAATCACCACAATTCATGCATTTAGCTGGCATGTGGTAATTTTTAGTTCCGTGACCCCATCCCTGGCACTTACAGCACTGGGTGAGGTTTTGGAAATTTCCTCCACTCTTCCTGAAGTGTTCCCACTTCACTCATACATGGAGCATAAGGCTAGCTTTTTCCAAGGCCTTAAGGTTGTTTAGTTCACTAGACTTGAAGTGAACTAAATAAAAATCATTAGAAATCCCGTTGCGCGAATCGCCAGGGTGCGATTTTATGGCACAACTCCAAGTAATTTTGCCAGTTCATGTTTGATCTGATCCAGGGATTCACCACTGGGCAGTCCTTTCATGACAACCTTGAACACACGTTCAGTTTTGGTGTCGTAAGTAAAACATTTGTGCTGCTTCTCAGTAAGATACTTGAGAAGATATTTAAATCCGTCCAAGGTTTCAGCCAATACACGGCATTCACCCCGACGTCCAATATGTAGTGATAACTTAACTTTCACGAAGTTCAAAAGTTTCATGCGAATAGCATGGAAATCGGTAGTGGTTATCGCAATAGGGGAAATCTTTTCCTTCTTGGCATTAAGCCGGGAAAGTTTACTAGAATTTTGACTGCTGATTTGAGACTGCTAGCCTTCTTTTTCTGTTGAAGTCGAGATTGGTCAAAACTGAACCTACCCAAAATGGGTAAACTGTGTTGGGAGTGACAAGTTGACAAATGAACAACGTCAATTGGATTCATGTCAATATCTAGATTATCGCGTCATTGAGACGGTACTAATGGATATTTTTGGTCGCTATTGAAAATTTAGTCGATTGCTGAATTTATGTGTGGGCGCAAATTAGGGACATTTAGGCCGAAATTACATCCATTTTCCCTATTTATCTAAAAAAAATAACGATAACGAGCGGTGATAAAGTGTCGGTGAAAGGGATTGAAAACATAATGAGGTTTCGTTTCAACTCGATAATCGACGATACTTTCATTGAAATGGGTGAGCAAAGCAACGATGAAAAAATCCACAGCCAGCCGTTCGTTCTAAGCGTGCTTCTTTTTCATTTTCGTTTCGTGCTGATAGTCTAGCTAGGCGTTATAGAAATTATTCGTTAAATACGTTGTATGCAAGAAATAAACTCAAGTTAATTTTAGAGCATCGAAACTGTAGAGCTCTGCTTACCATTAAAGGTAGGAGTAGGAGGGACATAGTGAAAATAGTGAATTGGTGGGGCATAATGATCATCCTGTACTTGAGCCTAAAATGTCTTATTGTTCAACACAAATTAATTCGTAGTAGGTTCACTATGCCACTCCTTCCCCTACTGGTAATGGTAGCATCAGTGTGTCTATTTTTTGTATTCGTTTTAGTGGCTACACTGAAAACGAATCTTACTCAGATAGTGAGTCACTTTTACTCATTCGTATGGAGACATTTCTAAAAGCGTAGGTTACTCATGTGCTGAGTGACCTACGCTTTAAGAAATTTCTTCATATGAATGATTAAAAGCTACTCACAACTGAGTAAACGTGACTCACTCTCTGAGTTAGTTGCGTTTTCAGTGTAGTGTTTTAGTATCTAAACCAGCGCTGCCCAACGGGGTCTTAGGATCTCAGCAATGCATTCATTCAAGCCCAATTTTATTAAATAACAACCAAGAATGCAAAATGGTCATCATTATGATTTTTAGCCCAGAATAAATGAGAAATAAATAAAATGTTGCTTGAAACATGATTAGGTATCTGATCTGAACTGAACCAAATGAAAATTGTGCACAGCTTTACACTTCTAGAATCCCTCACCCTTTACGAAATGTAAAACTATGGAGAAGCGTGGTTTCCAGTTCTATTCAAAATTACAGTTCTTTCTATTTATAAGTTTTCACAATTAGCTATTTTAACTGGCGCTAGAAAATTAAATCGAATTTTCATTCCACGAAATTGTGATTCGCAATCATTGAAATCCTGCTGAAGCGTTAAAACCCATTTTGCATTCAACCACCGGTTATAAATCGCATCGTAATTATTGTTCTGCTGTGACAACGACAACCATTGACGTCATCACGGACCGAATGATAGTCGTAGAATAACAGCCGGTGTAGAAGAATACCACGACTACAAAAACAAACATAAAAAAGCGAAAAGCATCGCTCCTTCTGACATGAAACCACGCTATGTATCACGTGCTCACTAGCGCTTCCAAAATGTTCACGTGCTGTGTTCTTAAATAGAAGCAGAAGTAGATAAAACGAAAGTGATGTGTGGTTGTTAACATTCCTATCCAATTCATTAGAGCGCTTGCTCTCAGAGAGCGATTTTTTTTGCTCCTTCCAAGAGCCGCGAGAGAAAAAGGACGCAAAGGGGGGATTCATCGTGACGAGGTCGTCATTGAAAGTAACATTTTTGCAGGCGGCCAGGGAGTAAAACATTTTATTGATTCATAGCGTTCGTCAGCTCGGTAGTTAGTTTCTGTACTATTTCCGACAACTGTTCGACGAGGGCAGCATTTTGTTCCCAATTTTCATTGCCAGCCGCCCGTACGCATCCTTGACCCGTTAAGCGTGCCGAGGAAAGTTGCGATTTTACGGAAGGTAGCCTCCCGGCATCATCCTTCCCATCGAGGAACGCTTGCAAACTACTTTCGCAAAGTGCTACGCATAGCTTGAGGATCCTTTCGCAATTGTCAGGATTTTTTGACCATTGACTGTTCGTTTGGGTGTACCCTCGGTAAGCATTTTGCAATTTTTGAGCTTTCTTCAGTGGATCTTTAGTTTCCAATTGCGAAGATAACTCGTACAGTAGACCATTGTTGGCAGTTTTGGCACATGCGTGCCCAAGAAGCTTAAGAATCTTTTTCGTCAAGCGTTGCGTTGAGTTTCCATTGGCATCCGGAGCGTCTTCCGAGATGACTTTGGTGAGTATTTCTAGAACTTCTTGATCGTAGAATTTTTCCTTCAGCTCCAGCATCCGCTCGTAGGCGTTCAATGCGTCCTCGTAGTTTTTCGTATCGATGCTGACGGCGAGGAAATTGTCCCATACCTTCCAGTTATTGAAGTTACACTTGAGAGCTTCTTGCAGAACTTTATGCGCTCGCTTTTTGTCGCCTAGTTTGATGTAAGCCATGGCGAGATTATTCCACGGTTCGAAACCATGCGCCTCCAGAGTGGTATAGAGTCGATAAGCTTTCGCAGCTTCCTCCCATTGTTCCAGCTGAATAGCGGCGTAGCCCAACCGCAACAGAGTGGCCTCCTGGAGGCAATTGATTTCCACCGATCTCTTCAGATGTGTAATTGCTTCCTGGTATTGCTTTCTCGCGAAGTAAAAATTACCCCAATGCCGTTGCGCTCGGGCACTAGTTTCTCCGGATAGTTCCCATGCTTTTTGATAACATTGGATGTCGTCCGTTGCATCTCCCAGTAGACAGTACAGGGTGACGGTGGGATTTTTGTTGATTTCCTGATGAATGATTTCAGCAGCTTTATGTCTCAGTTCGAGATGGTTGTAGCAGGAGATAACATCTTCCCAGAGTTGCAGCTCAAGATACAAATCTAAAGCGCCTTTGATGATACCCAAGCTCACCATCAAGTCGCCCAGCTTGGCCTTAATTTGCCAACGCGGAATGAGGGCGGAGCAGAAGGCAAACGACAGACGATGCGAAACGGGAACAGAGTCGGAATCCAGCAGGTGGACTAGCTCTTCGCATTGCTTCATTGATCGATCGACGGTGCGTTTGTGGTTCGCTTCCAGTAGAATGTTGAGATACAAAGCTGCAACTCGGGTAGCCCATGGACCATGATCCTGGTATAGCAAGGACGTTATATACGGTTTGAGTTCCTCGTCAGCCAGTTTATCTTTAGGTTGCGAGTATTTCAAATAGAATCTGGGAAAGAAAAATTTGAAGATACGTTAGCAAGTCTGTATAATTGCCGAATAACATCAACACACATTTTGGAAAGTACCATCTCTTGTACCAAGCTAGGAAGCTGAGCGTCAACGTTTTCCTGCTCACTCGTGAACTTGACCTTTTCCAAACGCACGTCGTCATCTAATTTCAGGATTGTCGGTAGAGTTACGTGACCATGCGTTTCCTTCGATCCCGGTAAACCTAACGTTTCCAAACCCTTGGCCCTTAGGATTAGCTGCGGCAAAGGATTTTGTTGGTACTTTGTTCTCACTCCAAGGACTCCTTCAACGGATATTTCAACGCCAGCCAAGCTTTGAAGAGTCGTTATCCAATGTTCCGCTTTGGTAATACGTTTGAATAGAACGTACCCCTGTAGGATCTCGATGTGGGTTTGCAGCTGTAAACTGACGTCTTCATCAGATTCCATAGCTTTTGCTAGGTGTTCAACGTTTTGGTCAAATCTCGAGTAAAGGCTATGAACGAGATCATCCAAACAACGCTGGTAGACAACCAGATATCGAAGGTACCATAATCGCTCGTCAAAGGTGACATACTGCTCTCCACACGCTGGTATCAGTTGCTCGAATACAAGTTTACAAATGTACAACAGCTCTGGAGCATTTGTATTCACATTCAATTCTTCACCGTCCGATTTGAGCAGGTTCCTTACATTGAGTTCCTCGGAAAATGTTACCACATCGGTGAGGGTCGTTTTTGGGCCTAGGAAATTATTTTGAACAAAGACGAATAGAGCAGAAATGGCCGCTTGGAGTAGTTCGTAGCGATCGGCGGTTGAAGTTTTTCCAGCTGTGATGCTTTTGAAGATCTCATGCTGAAAGCAGTTGGTCCAGTCGGCTTCCTTAATCGATTTCAGCAGGCCGGAAACTTCCTGTTGGTCTGTAAAAAAGTGAAAAATTTTCAATTTCAATAAAGTATAAATGAATTAGGTTGTGATTTATGTTAAAATACATGACATAACGCATACATAGTCTACTGGGTGATTGTATGACATTTTCCGGAAAGGACCATTTCTCGGATTTTTTTTTATATATCAAAAAATGAAAATCTTTATTTACTTAGCTATTTTAAATCGGTAAAATGAACATCATTAGCCCAAATGATCAGTTTTTTCGATGGTATAATTTGTAATTCATACAAAGGACTTGGATTATACAAAGAGTGAGACAATTAAGTTACCCTCAGAAGCTTTAGTTTTTTTTTCTAATAGCTGTATAAAATTTTTGGTCCGTCTTATGTTTGTGAATCTACCATTTAGTAGTTAGTACTTATTTAAGTTTCACCGTATGCTCATTATTCTCGTCCATATTGAGGATTCAACTTGTTAGCTATTGAAAATCAATTAAAATACTATTGATTTAAAACTAAACTTTGTTTTATGGATTTTATAATTTTAAACCGTATGTAATATCTTTTGTTCTAGCACTTTTTTGAAAAACATATGTTTACATCTTAAAACAATGATACCTTCTAGGAAAGAAAGGATTCAAAATGTTCTACGATTTTTGTCAATTTTGAAGTGTCCGTTGTGTCCAAGTTTGCATAGGTCTTCAAGATTATACCTGCGTCAAATATGGTGCCTCTTCGGTACAGAACCGAGAAATAGTGAATTGAGATTTGAATTTTTTGTCGAAGTTTTTTCTAGATGAAATTAAAATGAACATTATTACAGGGTCTAACTTTTTTTCAAAACAAAATAATATTTTTGATTTGACCTTGAAACAACATCAGACTCCAGGGGTGTGTGTGATTCGTTTGGAGACGACTGCGGGAATCCGAACACCAACGATACCTGTTTTTGTAGCTAAATACCCCTGCGAGACATCGTTGCCACTTTGCTCTTGCCCAAGAGCTGTGATAGCTCAAACGGAGAAAAAGAAGAATCAGCCGTTAGATTAAAAAAAAGTTAATTTTATGTCGGTTTGTCGGTGGTCCTATGTACTATAGTCGCTGTCTTCATAGTCTGGCGGATAAAATCTCAGGAACCAATTGAGCTGTCAAATAGCGGAACCAATCGAGCAAATCACGACGAACAACAGAAAAGAGCACATCAGCTATTGCGAACAAAACTTCGGAAACCCTTTTCTCGTGACCAGTGATGGAAAAGGTCGCGAAAACTCACGAACTTTTCCCTTGGTGAACTTCATGAAATATCGCGAACTTTTCCAACACTACTCGTGACTCAAGGCTCGCCTACACGGAAGCAAATAAACTTAAGAATTTACTTTGACTATATGTTTTTAGTATTACTTCTACGTGAAGTCAACGATTTACATAGTTGAAGATGCTAATTTCAAATAACAGACTGTAGTGGTAATTTTTATACGATAGATGGAGTAGATGAAAGCATAGAGTTGATAGTTCCGTTAGAGTACGGCAGTGTGAAGATTGTATATAGATATTAGAATAGCGAACTAGGACAACTTTTAAGGAAGGTACAAATCGGTTTTTTCATCTCTCTTTACCAAACTCCCCCTTTGGAGAGGGATGGTGAGGGGTGTCCCCCCCCCCCCGCCACCACTGGCAAAAGAGATGAAAACCGACCCGTTCAAGTACCAACTGTGTGTTTTAAACAGTTCTACCGATTTTTACCGCACTTCAATTGTTATTTGAAGGAAGGCATCCAGTCGTAGGTTTGGAAATTGCAACTATTGTTTACCCCTACCACGATATGTGCTCCTGTCATCGTCGACTTGACGATGACGATTTAATAAGGCTCGACTAATGAACGACTCATATGATTTTTATAAGCGTGACTTATGAATGAATTTCGTCTAACATGAGGTAGCTCCTATACGCCTATAACCATTTATTATCCCCAAGCGTTGAAAGACGAGTGGTCAACACAAAGGCCTCGTAGTCCATGGTTCGGTTCCAGTCTGCTCCACTTTACTATTTTTTGTCAACATTATTTTTCATAAGTGAAATTCATACTGATTTATTGTGGCTAAAGTTCATAAGTGGCTCTTATGGAATTCTTACGTCCATTTGCCTTAGTGCACGCAAACTAACACCAGGAAAGTTTCCCCTATTCGATGATGCTGGTAATTTGAGTTCGATTGTCGAGGAAAGAATAACCAACGTTTTGTTTATAAAAGTTGATAATACCTTTACAATTGTTGATCTACAATATCAGTGCTAACATTTGAAAACGGCGCAAAAGCCATTTGTAAACAAATGGTTTGTGGGCCCTTTACTCGCTACCCGAAGAACGCCCACGCAAACCAACAGCATCGTCAGGAAGGGGAAAATTTCCCCTACCCGATGTTGCTGTTGTGTCGCGTGGGTGTACTTCAAGTAGTGAGTAAAGGGCCCACAAACCATTTGTTTACAAATGGCTTTTGTGCCGTTTTCAAATGTTAGCACTGATATATTGAATTTGTTCCACTTTTTAGTAAATCGAAATTCTATCCGCCAGACTATAAATATAGCGACTATATACTATATACGACTTCTGGCCATATATAAATACTAATTTCACCCAGTGTACTTGCTATGTTGTCGGCATAATTTATGACCAATGCCCCCAGAAACATCTTTCACTTAACACTTTCCAAATAACATATTCTCCATCCTGAAAACTTACCTTCCACATTTAGGAAATTAAACAAGTTTAACAAACTAGTTTCACTCATTTTCTTGAATGTTGTTAAGCTTCCAAATATAAATTCCCGTCTTCTATTAAATCGTTTTCAAAACTCACAAGAACGCACGTGTGTTTACATTCGGCAGCTTGAGTGTTTTGGGGTTTTTGGATCGAGTTCGTTTGTATGCAGCGGCACGGGTGATTTCCAATTGAAACGTCAAACATATCGAAACATTGACCAAGCAAATAACACCACATGGGTTTGTTTATAAATCGTAGCAACGGTAGCCCCGGTATAGCCCGTGGTAGTGCGTGAATCTTTCGAGCTCGTATCTAATTACGAACAACAAACTTCCAGATTATTCCTCATGTTACACCATCATCCGACCGAACCAGCACAATGGATTCCATCCAGATGATAGCCCACATCGAGAAATCCCTGGATTATTCGATATTCGACGTGAAATGGATCCCCTGCTCGGCCAAGTTCGTCGTGGTTGGATCCAAACCGAAAGGAAACGGAATCCTGCAGATCTACGAACTGAACCGCGGTGAGTTGGACAAAGTCATAGAGGTTGAGAAGCCAAAGTCATTCAAATGTTGTTCATTCGGAGCGTCCCGGTTGCGTGAAACGCAGCTGGCAACGGGAGATTTTGTGGGGAAGTTGGCAATCTACGATGTGGAACGTTTGGAACAGCCGGTGTATGAAGTGGCGGAGGCCCATACCGGAATTATCAACGCAATGGATGCCATTGGAGGTACGACGATAAACTGCGGTGCGCCGGAGATTGTGACTGGCGGCAGAGACGGATCAGTGAAAGTTTGGGATCCGAGACAAAACGATTCTCCGGCAGCTCACGTTAGTGCCGCTGGGGATGGCCCTGCTGATAAAAGGGACTGCTGGGCTGTAGGATTTGGCAATTCGTACAATTCCGTTGAACGGTCGGTGGTGGCCGGTTATGACAACGGCGACGTTAAGCTGATTGACTTGCGTGCAATGAAAGAACGGTGGTCTGCCAATGTGAAGAATGGAGTTTGTGGAGTTGAGTTCGATCGAAAAGACATCAATATGAACAAGTTGGTCGTCAGCACGCTGGAAGGTGGATTGCACGTGTTTGATATGCGAACCCAACACCCTGAGAAAGGATTCGCTCAGCTGACGGAGAAGGAGGCAGGACAGTCGTTGGGTAGCAATGGAGTTATCAGTGGATCCAAATCGACCGTTTGGACTGTGAAGCATTTGCCTCAAAATCGAGACATTTTTGCTTCCTGTGGAGGTGCCGGTAATATTCGATTGTGGATTTAGTAAGTATCAGTGTTTAGCTTAAAAAGCTTTATTTGGTGGTACAGAATTTGACATCTAATGGCTTGTTTCTTTCAGTCACTATCCGGAAAAACGCACCAAGACAACGGCTAGCGGTGAAGATCAAGGAGTCGTTGGTACGTTGGAAATGCTGAACGCCACCACTGTTTCAACTCAACCGGTCAACGCATTCGATTGGAGTCCCGATCGGCAGGGTTTGGCAGTGTGCGGAGCTTTTGATCAAACTGTTCGAGTTTTAGTTTCAACTAATTTACACTTGCATTAGTATGTTTCCGTATTTACTAAATAAAATAATTATTATGCATGATTATTATTACTTTCGACTCACTAAATACTAAATAAATGGGGGAAATGGCTCTAATGTTGGCCTATGGATCTAAGATTGGGCCCATCGCTAAAAATCTGTTATTTATCAATTTTATCTAGATGAACCCGTCATTGGGACGGTACTAATGGATATTTTTGGTCGCTATTGAAAATTTAGTCGATTGCTGAATTTATGTATGGGCCCAAATTAGGGGCATATAGGCCGACATTACATACATTTCCCCTACCAAATATTAATAAAATTATTGGGTTTTATTCATTGTACCGTTAAGGCACCTTATTTGGCGGCGTTCCTAATAATTATGACAGACATGATTGTAGTACAGTTGTACCATAGAGGTAACACTAAGACTAGTAAGTCCCGAAGAAACGTGCTCAACTTTTTGGCTCAGCTCTGGTACTCAGCCCTATTCTGTATTTCGTTTCGAACGAAATTCTCATACAAAAAAATATTTTTTTGTATGAGAATTTCGTTCGAAACGAAATACAGAATAGGGGTGACTATCTTCGGTCCCAAGCTAATCGATTCACCCCTCGAAACATAGGAAAATCCACTAACCCCTCATTTTATCTGTCAAACTTTCATAGCGAATCAAAACAAACATAGTATAGTAATAGAGATTGCTGACGTTTGTCGTACGTAGTGTGCGTCACGTATACGTATACGCAAAATGTTTTCATCGGGAAAAAAAAACTTCATAGCGGAAAATTTTCCCGATGAATACAAATCACTTACACAATCATACTTTAGCAATCTCTATAGAATTTTGACTAGAATACATTAATCGATTTGCTTGGGACCAATAGGCTAGTCAAGTAGTGAGCCAATTTAAAATCGTTAGTTTCCACCGATTGTTTGTACTCCTTTAATCTAGTACGTCGATTGTGGTACTGGATTAAAGGAGTACAACGGTACTACAATCATGTTTGTCGAAGGTATAACTCGACACTCAATAATTTTGAATATCACCCATATTCTGTATTCCGCGAGGTAGGTATTGCGTTCGAAACGGATTTCTCATAAGGTAAAATTTGCTATCCATTAATATTCTTTAAATGCTACCGTGCTCTAGGGATGATAGTGTAATAAAGTATTTAAAAATACCTATCTCGTCAAAATCAAGATACGTTCAATAACCCAGCGAACAAATTTAGCAGCAGAAATGTTGTGGTTGTTTTGCTTAACGACGTATTCGGGGTATCATCCAAACCATTTGTGGATAAGTTCGACTATTTGGGTTACTGTTCGTTTTTGTTTATTAGGGGCAGCTTATACCGTGGAGCCCCGTTAATCTGAACGTTACTTCGACGTGCATATTAACGGGGTTCCTTCTGTGATTCAGTGATGTAAGCCCTAATAAAATGTTATGGTTAATTTGCTTAACGACGTGTACGGGGTATCATCCAAACCATTTGTGGAATAGTTCAATCATTTGGGTTATCGTTCGTTTATGGTATTTTTATTAGGGTTTATATTTTAGCGTTCTCTTTCACGGTCCCTTTCATTTAATGAATACCCCCCGTTTGCAAGGTGTTTTGGTGATTATACTGTCTTCTTGATAGAGTTGAAATTTTGCGCTTTTTTATTAATGCAAACACAATAAAAATCAGAGATGTCCCATTTTTTAATTACTCGATTAACAACTAATCGATTACTTTTTGTTCGCTGAGCTGTCATTTCTCTACCAATGAGAGTGCAGAACATGTTTGAAACCGAGTTTGAAACGATGGGTGATGATCCTCTGGAGAAATATTTTACTTTTCGGTTCGTTAATCGATTAATCGATTATTCGAATGAAAATTGGACATCACTAAATGAATGTGAAACGTCATTTCAAATATAAAGGCCGTTCATAAATAATAAGACGGAGACAAGCCAGCCAACGGCTGAAAGTCTCCTTAATAAAGATATAAAAAAAAATAATAAGAAAAGGACCGGTGATAATCACAAATTACGTCCCCATGGTAACAGAAATAAACACGAGTGCTGACCGCTCTTATACAAATGTTATGGTAAATTTGCTCAACGACGTCTTCGGGGTATTATCCAAACCATTAGTGGAATAGTTCAATCATTTGGGATATCGTTCGAATATGGTTATTGTTTATTAGGGCGGTTGCTATTACCATCTATTATCATATTCAGTAGTTTGTCACATCTGAACATCAGTAAATTTATCATCTCGCTGCCACAACGGCGCCGATGGTGTAGTGGTAAGCGTGATTACCTCTCACCCCAGCAGGCCTGGGTTCAATCCCAGTCGGCGCCGCCGGGATGTTCTGAGGCATAACATCTCTGATCACGCCTTCCTTCGGATGGGAAGTAAAGCCGTTGGTCCCCGGTTCATGAGTTGATGGGTCGATAGGTAGGGTCCAGGTGTGGGAGCTGCCTTCCTGGCACGTCGGTAGCATTGGTGCTCAGCACGGAAAACAAGATCGACGGAAAAAACAAACCAAAGGATCTCGCTGCCACAGGTCGCTCCGGCCGGATGGCCACCACAGTTGTACCCAGTCAGGACGTAAAAAAATGGGTGAAAGCATCCCTCCGAGACGCCTGGGCCCGGGAGTGGTTCGCAAAAAGGGGACCGTTCCTGAGAAAAATAAAGGGCGACACCTCCAAATGGAATGACATTACGAGCCGATGGGAACAATAGGTCTTATCCCGGCTTCGATCCGGACACACCCGAATGACCCACAACATGGGTAGTGCTGCCTCTTTTCGGAAGTTTTGCGACTCCTGCAACACGATTATGACAGTCGAATACCTGATTGTTAACTGTCCCTGCTTCCATAACATCCAGCTCCTCTATACCGAACAGCATACGTAACGCATTCTCTAACGACCCGTCCACGGAAGCAGCCCTAATAGTTTTCCTAAAAGATGCTGGACTGTTCTATAAAATATAATCAATATATACAAAATGACTACACTTCGAACATGGACACCACTGGAGTAAGCCTGGATATCCCATGACGATTACCGGACTGCCTTCGACAACGACCACCGTCATTCACACCATGATCCGCCAACCACACTAAGAACAAGACAGGAACTATAATGAACTCTGTTTAAAAATACTCTGTACTAAGGGGACTCCCTTCTGGAGCTCCACCAACCTCTAGGAGAACCCCTCAACCCCTGTAATTAGGGAAGCCCCCTTCTGGGGCTCCCGGAGATGAACCAGCCTGCGGCTGAAAATCTCTTAAATAGAGATAATAATAATAATAATCAGTAAATTTATTTAGAATAGTTGAATCTTCGATAGTTTTGTGATTTACAGTTCGAAAATACCAAACAAGGAAACCGTGATTAAGTGTGTCGGTGTGTTGAATTTATTTAAGCCTGTGTTTGGTAAAGTTTAACTCAAATTTGACAGATGGATTTTATTAGTAAACCTTGTATTTTACCAGACTTATTTCTGACAGAAAAGAAATAAATTTTAACAAACATCTTCTCGAAAATCGAACGATCAACAACAAAGGGCTTATCGAACATAATAATTTATTTTCGAAGTGTCAAATTTAAGTGAAAATTTGCCTTAACCCATCGACTAACCGACATGCCACAGGAGCAATTCGTTTGTCCACAATTCGATTTGTCAAACGAGCGATTCCATCTGGCAAACAGGCGATCAGAACTTTCAAACGAAGTGAGACACAAACCAATGCAATATAAATTCAACGTGTGTTCGTGTCCTATATAGCGTCTTGGGCAAGAATTTGAATGTAGCTTGTATCGAGGCTTGTATGAACTGTCACGTCGGTTCGCTGGTGCTTAAACCCCCAATATATTGCTGATTGCATCTGAAACTGGACTGTCCCAAAAATGCAAAAAGTGTGATAAAAGTGCACGTTTCCGTCAAATCGTTTTGATGTCTTGGGAGCACTTATTGCTTGCATCATAAGGAATAAGTGCACCGAAGACACCAAGATGATTAAGGTATTAGTACACGAGACAAATATTTGTCTTAATTTGACAGATACATTAAATGTATCTGTCAAATTAAGACAAATATTTGTCTCGTGTACTAATACCTTAAAGGTATTACACAGCAAAAAAAAAAATGTAATATGAATCAATGTAATTCAAGCTGATGTATGAAATAATGATGTAATAGCAAAAAGCTGATACAATCCCTAATAAAAAATGTATGGTTAATTTGCTTAACGACGTGTTCTGGGTAACATCCAAACCATTTGTGGAATAGTTAAATGATTTGGGTTATCGTTCGTTTATGGTTATTTTTTATTAGGGATATTACATCAATGGATGTAATTTTGTTCTTAAAATCGATGTACATCGTACAACGTTATATTACACAACCGATGGATTGACCTGGTTGCAGCAGTTTGGATGTAATATTCAACAACTTTTTTTTCTGTGTAGTACACGAGACAAATATTTGTCTTAATTTGACAGATACATTTAATGTATCTGTCAAATCAAGACAAATATTTGTCTCGTGTACTAATACCTTTAGACGTAAACTTGCAATTTTATCAAAATTTTTAGCCAACCCCACACGGTAAGAAATATTGTCAATACTTACAAGTATTGACAATAATATTGATGATGTGAATACAGAAATATTGTCAATACCGATGTATTGACGTCAATATAAAATGTATTGACGTCAATATAAAATGTATTGACAATACGATTATTGTCAATAAAAGCAATCGTGTACGGTCCACATTTAATAAGTGAAAACGCGCTTATTAGTCCAATTTGGTGTGAAATGCGAATAGTAGTTTCTACTTTACAATTCCTTTCCGTGTACGTATAAATGCACACCGCAAAAACGAAAATGACAAGCTTGGCCGATAAGGCATCAATAAAGTCATCGATATTGTTGACAGCTACTGATTTGTTTTCATATCTCGTTTCGTTGCTCGGTCTTCGATCTGGAAACATCTGGCAAAATCCAAACAAACTCACCGCCCGCTGTAAAACCGAGTGTAAAACTTCGTTCTTGGTGCAAAAGTAATAAGTTTTAGAATTTTCAGATATATAACTCGAAGCGGCTCCTCTACCAAAACGTAACATGCCTGCCGATGAAGGAAAATTCGATCAAGTGTTGTTCACACTGGCCGATCAACACCCGGGCGGTGTTCCAGACGTAAGTCTTAATCGAGCAGCTAACCTCAATTTTCTGCGATTCTAGCTGAATCACAAGGATGATTCTCATCGATTAACTCCCTTTTTCTCACAGCTACTTTCGACAATCGCCGGTTTCCTGAACCGAAAAACAGACTTCTTCACCGGAGGCGAAAAAGGAGAATGGGAGAAGCTCATGTTGAAGATTTTCCGAAAGGAGGCTGAAATTGCTCAGGAAGTTGCAAGGAAGAAACGCGAAGAACGGGAATCTGCTGAGCGAAGGCGAACCGAAGCACGCCGGAAGAAGGAAGAAGAGGAACGACTTCAGCAGGAACAGCAGTCGGCTGCCATCACGGAGCTCACCGATGCAGAAGCGGATAAGATGCTGCAAGAAATCGCTGATGCGAAGTAAGTTTCCAATGTTTGTGTTTGTGGGGATTCGTTTCCTTGGAGATGGAATAGAATTATCTAATTTCGTTCTGTGCTACAGGGACACAGAAGTCAAACCTGAATCGTCGAGTGCTTCCATTCCGGAAGAGAAGAAAGACAAAGACGATGACGAGGAACCGGAAGATAAAGGCAAACTCAAACCGAATCAAGGCAACGGTTGCGACTTGGAGAAATACACTTGGACTCAAACGCTTCAGGAACTGGAACTTCGCGTGCCATTCGATGTCAAGTTCACTCTCAAAGCCAAGGACGTCGTGGTAAACATCCAGCGGAAATCGCTAAAGGTTGGCCTGAAAGGACACCCACCAGTTATTGACGGCGAACTGCATGCAGAAGTGAAAATGGAAGAATCGCTGTGGCATCTGGACAAGAACAGCGTTGTAGTCACGCTGGACAAAATCAATCAGATGAACTGGTGGGATAAACTGGTGATAACCGATCCACAAATCAACACGCGAAAGATCAATCCCGAATCGTCCAAGTTGTCGGATTTGGACGGTTCTACGCGTGGCATGGTCGAGAAGATGATGTTCGATCAGCGGCAGAAGGAAATGGGTTTGCCGACCAGCGATGAACAGAAAAAGCAGGACGTGCTGAAGAAGTAAGTGTCCTATATTTTCGATGTATGTAAGTATATTACGGCGAGAAATCTAAAAAAACGTCAAATTTTTAGGTTCATGGAGCAGCATCCGGAGATGGACTTTACAAAATGCAAATTCACTTAGATCAGCTGAATGAAGATAGAATAGTCTTAGTTCTTAACACTGATGATAAACTACAATGCTGAACAGATTAGTGATAACTTACTGGTTTATGTTTCATCTCCTATGTGGGAGTGATGTAAGCTTTAAATGATTTTCATTAAGGTATTATATTGTAAACAAGAATCGAGTTTGGAATGATATGAAGTGAACAATTATGCATTCATTGTAATTATGATCGACTCAAATACAAAAATTGATTGCTGGACACTAATTTGGTTTTTTGCATAATATTTCAAAATACATATAAGAATAGGGGTTAGCGCCGGCAGAAGATTTTAATAATAATTGGCCAAATCACTCATACAAGATAATAATTCTATTCATACACTTCGGCTTCGCCATTTAGACGCCTAGCAGAGTGAACGCTAGAGACCGAGCGGACAAAAGATCTTATTAATGAATACAGTCGAATTTCGCTCGTTGGACTACGTTTTAGTTGGGCTGTAACTGCCCATAAAAGCGTAACAGCACCGACAAACCGACATGAATGACCATAGCAAAAACAATAAAAAATATGATCAAAGCACACTACTGACGTCTGCCTCCGTGTTCGTGGGAAATATTTATCTATTCTGGACAAATTATTTTTATCTAGATCAAAAAATGCTGATGTGGTTTTGACAGTTCGGATCACTGCGCACATTTAAATCGGCCATTCAGGATTTTCGGGCATAAGTCAGAATTAAGTGTCATGTCGGTTTGTCGGTTGTTTAATCACGATCAAACCGACATGAAACTAAAGGCCGGCTTAAGTTTTCAGGTTTGTTGACAGTTAGCCCATGCATTATCTGTCAAAAAACCCGAAAACGTATCTATTGTGCGACGGCCTTTAAACTTAACTCTTGATCGAGAATCAATAACGGCCGATTCAAATGTGCAGCGATCCCATCTGACCATACACGCTTACTTCAGCTTACTCACCGGGTGAGTCGATCGTACTCAATTTCGTCTGATGTATTAGGTTGTCAAAATCTGAGTAAACGAGAAATGTCAAACCAAATCCGATGACTTAGAAAAAAATGCCAGCAGTGTCGGAGCAAACCCTCTATAAGAAACGGCGAAATTATTGTAAAACACCGGCCGAAATGCATTAAGGTAAGTAGAAATTGTATGCAGACGGTTTCAGTCGTCTTCAGCTCCAGTTAAATTAATCTGAAGCAGGTAATTTCCATTTTTTTTTATCAAAACAAATAAAAAAAAAAAAAAAAAACTCCGACCGAAAATATCACAGAGTGGTTTTGACTCATTCTGCGCGAGAACGTCATTTACTCAAAAGTGAGTAAAAGTGCGCCAACTCACTTTTGAGTAGCCATAGGCCATACTTCCCGCTGAAACGAGCATGTTCACCTTAATTTTGAGTTGTTGCGAGTTACCGCGTAGAAATGTTTTATCTAGATAAAAATAATTTGTCCGAAATAGATTAGACACGAACCAACTCATACATTTTGTAGGCGTGTTCGTGGCTAGGATACATCTAGATAGAGCTGGAATTAGGGCCTATCAGCTTTTGTAAACAATGACTTCTCTTGATGATTTCTAGAAATTCAAGGCTCGCCCACGCAAACCAACATCCTCATCGGGTAGGGAAAGACGAGGGGGGCGACACATCTAAATCTCAAGTCTAGATGCTCAACAAATCTCACACTAGGGAATCAATCTTCGAAAAATCTTCTTTCATTTCTCGCATCTACTTGCATCGTGCATGATCTTTTTGCAGGAAATCTTCAGAATCGTCGTCAATCTTCATTCTATCTACTTAGCTTGCGCGCAGCTAGCCACAGCAAAACACAATCTTTTCTGCATCGTAGATAGAGTCGTCCCCCTCGGGGAAAGACTTCCCCTATCCGATGGTAAGGTTGGTCTTCGTGGACGTGCCTTGAATTTCTAGAAATCATCGATAGAAGTCATTGTTTACAAAAGCTGTTACACCCTAATTCCAGCTCTATCTAGACATATACATATTCATATAGGGCCTACATAAAAAAAATACAGCCAAAAAAATGGCAACCAAAAAAAAAAAAATACTCTAAATTTAAGTTCTTTTTACTTAATTTTGGGTAATTTTGAGTTTTGCATCCCACTCTCACTTTTTGTTGTTGTAAAAAACGGAACGAGAGATTCGATTTTCTCATGATTATCGTTCAATAAGCTACTAGCACAAACGAAGTGACAGACGGAGCGGCTCGAAAACTTTGGTGACTAACCTACTATTGTAATTTTTCAGTGTACCACATGGCAACACCACTACTACTGGATTGTACCACATGGCAACACTACTATTGGATTGAACTAACATTTTCACCAAATGTTCTAGAATGTTTTGGTTCTATCTCTTTCACTCTACTCTAAACTGAAATGCATAAAAAAATGACAAAATGATACACTCTTTGCACACTGTCAAAGATCATATTGCACACAAAATCAACTATGTTCAAATCAAAACAAAAATACTAGCCCATCTAGTGGCTGATGGCACAAGCTTCTTAGAAAATTCTATTACAGCGAACCACATTATTTTAATTGATTTCTTCGCCAGTTAGTCGTCTGTCACTTCGTTTGTGCTACTAGTGTTGCTACTAGTGAGTATATGAGATATTTTTAAATTTCTACCTTTTATATTTCCTATCCATTAGAGGTCAGGAAGATAGTCATCGTTTGTTTAGCTTTTAATAAGTATATTAATCAAATCAGAGCAAACAGCGGAATAAAGGCATCGATCTCAATGAGGTTTTTTTCAGCACATAATTTGACAACCCGTTTTATTCAGCATTGTACACTGTTATAAAGCATTTATTCAATATTCTTCTTCTTCGAATTTTAAGCTTATTGCATATCGCATATTAGCTTATTGCGTGCTCTCAACTTAGTCTTCTAGATGCACTTCCCAACAAACAATTTTAGCTGCAGATTAGCTTATACAGTCAAAATTTGCCTTATACAGCTAATTTTTGTCTGTATAAGCTAAGCTGCAGCTAAAATTGTTTGTTGGGTTCCACAGTTGTTAATTGAGAGCTTTCGATGCCTGTACCATTTTTGCATTGATATGATTGTGTGGCAAAGTCCAATCATACTTCTATGCCCAGGGAAGTCGAGAAATTTTCCAACCAGAAAAATTCCTAAACCGAACCGGGAATCGAACTCAGCCACCTCCAGCATGGTCTTGCTTTGTAGCTGCGCCTTTACCGACTGAGCTAAGGGAGGTCCCAGAGGCATTTAATCAATATATATGCTTATTTGTGACTCTGAATTGATTGTTGGGCTGTTTGCAGCAAACCAATCTTGAAGTGCCTCAAAAATATGCTCTTTAAAAACTCCTCCCTAGTTGTGACCTTCTGGAAGCAAAATTGACAAAATTTATATGTCATACACAAACTTTACCACCTCTTCTTGCATCTTACAAATAAAAATTATCATTATAGTATCTCATTGTTTCATAATTACGAAAAATAGCATTTTAGCTATAATGAGCAATTGCAAGCCTGATTGGAACTAGCCTCTGAAATCAAATTTCTTTGAATTTTCCTCAGAATTATCTTGAAATTATCCTCAGTAAGGAACCCTTTGGAAAGATTCTCATAATTTGCATGGAATTCACTTCAGTTTTACTTTTGAATCTCACACCTTCCCTTGAAATTCTACTCACATTGAAAGTCTCATAAGAATTCATTTTCATATCTCCTCACAACTTTCTTAGATTTCTGCTTATAATTTGTTTGGTAAACTCTCCTGGATTTAATTATACAGGTATTCCACTAAGACGCCCACATTCATCAGGATTCTCCTGGATTTCTTTTCCCGATGCCTTTGAAGATCTCCTGGAGTTATTCGCAAGGCAAAACACATAGGCGTAGTGAGTTTTTGCGTAGTGCACAGTAGTGCACGTGGATTTCTTGTGATGGTCATATTCCCCCCTAGCCTGGGTTCAAACCCAGTCGGCGCCGCCGGGATGTTCTGAGGCATAACATCTCTGATCACGCCTTCCTTCGGATGGGAAGTAAAGCCGTTGGTCCACGGTTCATGAGTTGATGGGTCGATAGGTAGGGTCCAGGTGTGGGAGCTGCCTTCCTGGCACGTCAGTAGCATTGGTGCTCAGCACGGAAAACAAGATCGACGGAAAAAACAAACCAAAGGAAAAAAAAAAAAATATTCCCCCCTATTCTGCGAGTCACGTTCCTCTCACTCTCTCTCTCACCGGTGAGGTGACAATTCGACAGTGAGCATGCATAAGGGCGTATACGCGATGATCGATTATCATCATCGATTTTCTCTTTGCATTGCTACAGCTAAGCGAATATGTCTAAAATTTGTTCAATGTAGAGTTGTAACCTGTTGTATTGGCTTTCAAAAGCAACAGCAAACGCACCGAGAAACGTTAATTCTAGCGAGTTTTTAACAAAAGAGAAAATTTACGAAGAGAATCGATCATCGCGTTTACGCCCTTATGTATGCTCACTGTCGAATTGTCACCTTACCGGTGAAAAGAGAATCACGAATGAAGTGCCATTAAATGTGCCCCCTAGGTGGAATTTCTTTCAATCGAATACACGCATCCTCTTTCATTTTTAGTTTTATTGATCTTACACATGCTGTGCCATAATTTAAATAAGTTAATAAATATCACAGAAAAAATAATAATGTAATAGCGTATTTTGTTGGAGGGAGATAGAAGGATCAGTGTCGAAGTATATTTAAGCTAGAATAGTGATAGAATTGGGTTCATATTGACGAGACTCGTGTTACAGGGTGGACCACGATAACTGCCCTCTACTTATAAGGATGGAAGACGGCCATTCTACAAAAATGGGCGGAAAATGGAATTTGTTACATGCTTCGTTTAATTCTAATAAAAGTTTGATTTTTCCTTCCGTTGGTTTTTATTCACATAAAATTCTGACACCGTCAGTTATCTATGGTCAACCCTGTTGCAATTGAACCCGACAGGTGGCTTACAGATCCGATAGATTCTCAGTGCTAATAATACTTCCTATGTAATGGGCGATTCTTTCAAGTGATCCTATTGGTAATACCCAGGTGATCTTGGAGGGTCCAATCAGTAGATCCGTAGTCTGGGAGATTTGTATCTCCATTCTGGAAATGTGAACTTCCGAATACGCATGAAATCATGTCTTCCCGTGTGAGGCCTTTTTCACTGTTGTCGTTGTCTTTGATTGTATCAATGATTGACTATCAATCACATTGTATTTCTATGTTTTGCTTGTATTGCTGCCTCCCGTTCACTAATGTTAGTCCACGGGGTGCTGGTGTTCTGGGATAGCGGTCGCAATTGTCCAGTTGATGTAATAAATAGTGGTAATTAGGACTGAGGCTCACGTGTGTGTGGGTCTAATAAGGTTTTGCTAGGAATGCTTATAAGTTAGAACAACTCTAGGTAAGGCATCGCGTCGTCAAGGTTGATGCTGATGGACGCCTTCTTGTTGTTTCGCTTCGCTTAAATCTTAAATGTAGGTTTGAATATGGCTACACGTGTGTCTGTTGTGGTTGTTTATCAGGAAGGAAGATTTCCTTTAATAGCGTTTTTTACGTTGTTCCGAATTCGGTGATTAGCATTTTGGAGGTTCCTCCTTGCGTGGTGTGCCCTTCCAGGTCTCATCATCTGGGCATTTCTCTGGCACGCACTAGAAGTAGAAAGAGAATGAACAGACAATTAAAACGAAAATGTAACGAGGCGATGAAAAAATAAAATAACAAAAGACTAAGCAACTACGTGTCCTATTTTTTTATTTAGTTCTTGTTTATTTTTCGTCAGTCTTTGTTCGACAGGCGAGTGCCAATACTGCCAATTACCAACGCCAGGGAGGTGACTCCACACCTGAATCCTACATAACAATCCACATATTGGTGCCAACTTAAGGGGTTGCTGATTACGTGTGTCATGCATTAATTTTTGGAGTCTTATATAACCTAGGGGAATTTACGTATTCTCGGCAACCTAAGCAGCGACCTTCTTTCTATAGCCTTTTTCTCTAAGGAACGCACACATATGCAGTATTGGTTTGTTTACAATCTTTTGCTGCCAGCTGCTCTAATAATTTCAGTCGAAAGAATTGTCAAAAACTGGTTTGAAACGCTTTTACAAAGCCTCAAACTTCTCTAGTGAGAACGACTATTGTCGGCAACCAGTTTGTCTTCGGCAACCGTTCCATTTGAACTGCATGTAAATCTGCTGTTCTATTATCGGCAACTCGAAATCAGCTACAATTTGTAGTGCGTGTGTTTCATTTCAAGAAAACCTTGCTAGATTGCTTTTTCTCAGTGGTAAAAGTATAGTCAAATTGAAGCTGAAAGCATAAAGAATCGTTTGCATGCATTCAGCGAAGTGTTTTCGTAAGAAAATCCAGTGAAAATAGTGTTTCAATTTGGGTTGCCGAAAATAGTCTGTCATGCCGAAGCCGTCATTTCCCCTATATAGCATTTCCAGGCCAAACTGCAAACAACAAATGAATTTCAGACTCGACCTTCTTAGATTTGCATGAAACTTTGCATAATTGTTATGGTCAATCATTCAAATTAGAGCTATCATTCGGCCATTGTAATGACGGAAAAAGCTTCAAAATTGTGTTTTTTTTTTAATTTTTTAACATATCTTAACTCGTAAAAATTACTTAATTTTGATGAGAAAATCAGTTTAAAAATAAATATTGCAAAATGTTATTTTATGGTTTTTAATATTTTTTAGAGTTCAAATTGAAATTTTCACAGAAGATAGCATTTTCATAAGCTTTTTAATAAATAAAAAAATAAGTAGTGTCAGTTTTTGTATTATAAGTTTTTAACACTTTTATGAATTTTTATCGTTAAATTACTTTAATTTCTTTAACGTGTATATTTTTCTTGGAAAGGAATTATTTTTTTCCTACAACGATCTTGTTTTTCGTTCTGAGTACCGCTACCACTACCGACGCCAGGAAGGCAGCTCCCACACCTGGACCCTACGATCCATCAACTCACGGACCGGAGACCAACGGTTTTAATTCCCCGAAGGAACTGCAGTTATCACTGATTTTATGCCTGAGAAAATTGGGATAGAACCAAGGGGTAAGTCACTCAGCACAGTGTGCCGAAAGTAGATTCGGTACAGCTTGGGCACACCTTTAGCACAATTTCGTAGGCATTGAATTGTGTCATTAAAAAAATGGGAGCACTGCTGGACAGCTGCCATTGAAGTTGTTCACTCAAAAATATTACTAACCAAAGAATTATTAAAATTTAATCATTTTATGTTCAAGCAATCTTTATATATTGATTTGATTAAAATTTATTTCAAATGTTTACTAAGTCCGAATAATGGCGAAGAATTTGTTCAGTGTACATCGCTGATTTTTCCTTTGACATTTTTGTTCAATTTATAAATTATTTCTCTCGTTCCATTTAATGATCCAATTTAATAAGTAGGAGATCGACATCTTGCTGGAAGTTATTATAATCGGTAGTTACATAAGTAAATATCGGTTACATAAGTTAATATCGATTTCTGATCGTTTAGTGTTTTCACACACTAAACGGCCAGAAACCGATATTTACTATATTTTATAGTGATTAAATTACTTTAAAAAAATGTTAATGGAATAATTCAGGTCTCCGCCTTCACGTTGGATTATCAGTATACTCGCAGTGCATTATGCCGTGAATCTGAATTCATCCGTCCGGTAGCACCACAGTTTACTTCTTCTGCATATTGAACCTCAAGCTACTGATGATATCAATACTTGGAACTAGTACGGGGAAAATGAGAATAACGAATTGAGAGACCGTTATGTCCACTTGTGGGACATTAGCGCTGAAAACTACGTGAGACTGAGGTGAGACGAGGTGAAATAATAATAGGCGAATCAAATATAAATTAAGCGATCGTTTCAGACTCTGGTGGTGAATAAGGGAACCATCAAAAGAGTGATTATGGCTGAAATGTTCGCCGCGCAGCATAGGAAGAGGAAAATATTTTTACCTTTTCTGATTAATTTATCCATCGCAGATGCTTGTAATTATCATCCACATGGAATATTTTGTTTTCTGTACCGATTTTGCAGTGATCCGGCTGGTGCTTCCACATATTTTTGTTAAGAAAAGTGAAGATTTATAAAACTACCCCAGCGGTTATGATGTTCCAGATTTCTAATGTGGTATTATTTGAGCTGTAAATCCGTTCAAATTTGTGAAAAATGATAAAATAAGACCCCTCCCGATGGAAATATGCAAGATACGCATAACAATATGCGTTAATTTGAGATGTAAAAACTGGCGTTCTAACGATAGCGCTCGTGGTGAATAGGAGAAATAGAAAAATGATGATGGTGTCAACATGTTGCACGTTGAGGTATAGGAAAGAAATCATGAAAAGCATTTATTATCCGAAAGAAATATTTGTCATTTTTTTAAAAGCTGCTACGGGGGAAGAAACCTCAAAAGCAACCCGATAGACGTATAATTTTCAATTTTTATTTTTTTCTTAGTTTTCGTTTAGATCTTAGATTTAAACTTTTCTAACCTCGTATGCACAACAAAATTTATAGAAAATACTTTATTCTTTAAATAAAAGCGTTTCTAAAATATTCTACCATACCTCGGCGTGAAAAATTATGATACCATCATCATTTTTCTAGTTCTCCTATTTGTCAAAAGTGGTGCTTTATGCTATCGTTAGATTTCCAATTGTAGTTTTGATGTAAACAAACGGTTTGGTTGACGTTTTCTCTCATAATCGCCTAGCGCACTCTAAATTGGCGGTGCATAGAAACAGCCTATAGAATTCTTTTGACGTCAATTACATTACACCAAATATATCATATTAACAATATGATTCATTCATGCCTTTTCCAAATGCTGCAATGGCGACCCGCAAAATATTGCTTCACGCGCCATCTAGCGTTGAAAAAGGTCAGCAGCAATCATTCAATTACAATCGAGGGGTGCAAATATAGCACTTATTACAAAAGCAAGAGTCAAATTATTTTCATTAATTACATTGTGTATATTACTTTAAAATTTGTCTGACTACAGTGACATTGTCATCAAATAAAATAAAATGCTGAAATACATTCATTTGAAATATTAAACAAATTTTCATTTGGTTTAGCCCTCGTGACAATAAACAAATACATTGGTAGCCTTTTTGGCCACAGAGGTGCTTTCATCGCTAAAAATTCGGTTCGCCAGCTAAGCGAAAGAGTGGATCATATTGTTAACATAATATATTTGATTACACCTAGCCCATTCTAAAAATGAGTTTCGCAATCGAACGCTGTACCAGGTGGGAATAGCTGATGGTAACGGTAAAGGATCCGGAACCATCGGACACGGAGGAAGATGGAAAATTAGTTGATTGCATTGTATACCAGAAGTTACGACTTTAGACTCACGTTAGGACCCACTCGAACTAACGTCCCTTGCTTACACAATTTTCTGAAGCTTTTCAAGGAGAAGAATAATTCAACAACCCACATGCGAACTAATTCACTCGTCTGCAAGGTTTATCGAACGTAGTTTCATCATCTAACAGGAGTGGCCAAACACGTTCAGATTTACTGTGCAGATCAAAAGCTCAACAGCTGTACCGGCTATATCAAAGTCTTCATGAATGAGGACGATATGGGATATCACGTGAAGCAGCACAATAATAACAAGCCAGATCTGCCAGAAAACATTTACCAAAGCGAATAACTTGAACCCCACATGAAGACGCACATATTCCAGGATTCGCTTCAATATTTGAGTTCACGTTCGTTTCCAAACGAGGAAGAAGTCAGCCTCACTCGTTGGTAAATTCATCACCAAAGCCGTTTAACTGTTCATACTACGGAAAACAATTTATTTAACCTGAAGACTAACGGCCGGACCCACACGGGTGAAAAATCGTTTTCAGTAACAATCTCCTTTTATGACCACTATCTGGAGTTCAGTTTGACGGCGTTTCGTGTCCTTGTGTGGGATCTGGATCATAACCATGACTGCTGTGTGGATATTCCGCATCGGTCCATACACTTTGCTATAGGATAGCGATTTCACGGTGGATTGTTAAATCAATATCATTCTTTTGAATGAATTCTTGGAAAATGGTAGGTTGGTCAGGAGCATTCACAGGATGCACTTTGCTCGATTTTGTAGGTTTGGTTTTTTAACCTTTCAAATGGTCAAATCACCTCCAGCAGCTTTTCAAAATTTGCCTCGTCTTTGCCGTTCTTATCCCGAAGCAACAGCTTCACCGACGGAATGCCCTCCTCACCGTCCTTCTCGATCTTCTTCTTGCTGGTCAGGAAAAAGATGGACTTTTCAAACAGCACCGTAATCGGTCAGCTCGTATCCCAGCCTCGGGTGGGACGTGCTGTCAAATCAGCCTACTGATCATTCTTGTATGAAATTGGTTCCAAACGTAAACAAACCCTGTAGGTTTCTTATGGCTTGTCTACGTTTGGAACCAGTTATGCGAGGTAGGCGACGATTGTTCGTATTTGACAGCCACCTCCCCCCTTGATCCCAGCAGCCAGGCCAAAACATTCAAGCTGTCAGAAACACCGGGTTGCCAAATATACTATAATCACAGACAAACAGACGTAACTCTTTGAAAAAGTTTTTCATGAAAACATAGTATCTCAAAACATAGGACCTCAGTAACGACATCTCTCGGCCTTCTCGCGGAAAACAAGCTTGCTCGCTAACTCGCAACAATATTGCATAAAAGTTCTATAGAATGTATAGAAACGTCAAAGTGATCCTATGCCAGCGCTGCGACGAGTAGTTCGCGAACCTGATAATATTCAAATCAACCGTTAAATGCGTGAACGAAGATACACAATGTTTGTCTGTGCTATAATATTCGTATTTTAATAAAAAATCTTAGCCTGATCTATGACCCGCACAATCGGCACTCCTGCGGCACACTTTCAACACACTGAGAAAAATGTTGACCCAAGATTGGTGTACGGAATGACCTACCCTATGGATAGAACCCTCTTTCAGGGAAGTTAGAGAAACCTCATTTAATATCAGGGATCTTTGCAGAAGTTCGGAGAAGTGTGTAAAAGTTCGGGGAAGGCAGTAGTGCTACAAGGAACATTTTAGATCTTCAGGAAACTTCGTAGACGTTCTAGAAACTTTCTAGAAGTGCAGCAAATTTAAAGAAGTTAATTTTTGTAGAAGCTCAGACAACTTTGAAAAAGTTCAGGGAACTTTGTATGAGTGAAAAAATTATAGTAGTTTGGTGAACCTTTTGTAGAAATCGAGTGAACTTTAGAGAAATTTAGTGAAATTATTTGAAGTTTAAGCTCACAGAACTTTACAAAACTTCAAGAACTTCTTAGACATTCGGGAAGCATCGTTGAAACTCTTGAAATTTTGTAAAAAAAATCAGAATCTTTGTGCAAGCTTGGGGAACTTCCTAGACGTTAAAGAAACAATGATTAATTGTATTTTCAAACATTTTTGGTAGCTTCTTTTAATTCCGTTAAAGTTCAATGGACGTGGAGCAGCACAAGTGTGAAAACTTAATGGAACATCGTGGATAACCAACGAGAAACGTGGAAGGGCAGCTTACTTTGTAGAAGACTATCGAAATACGTACTAATTCGAGGAACTGCGTTAACCTTCATAGAAGTGAAAGGAATTTTGAAAAAAGTTCATGGAATTTCGTAGCAAATCAAACATTTTCGTAAAAGTTTAGCAAACTGCAAGTATTTACTTCAGCCAGGGATCTTCGTAGCGGTTTGGGCAACTTCGTAGCAGTTTGTTGGATATTTTACTGAAAAAACGCTGAATCAACTTCTTGGAAGATTAGGAAACGTCGTTTAACTTCAGGAAGTTTTTCAGATGTTCAGGAACATCCGTAGAGAAGGATGACGATTATCAGAAAGATTGGTGAAGTTTATGGATGTTCTGAGATCTTGGAAGAATTAAAAGAAAGTAAAATAAAAGTAGAACTTGGAAGACGCTTAAGGGAAGAAGTTGAAGGAACTTCGTAAAAGTTGGGGAAATTTTTTCAAAAGATGTTCATGGAATGTTGTATAAGTTATAGGATATTCTCTCAGATATTCTACCTAACCGGCAGTTCGATCCAAAAGTATTCAAAGGATCTCCAGATAGACGAAGAGTCCAGAAAAAGTCCTATGGATAATTTTCAAGACTTCAGGTGTACCAATACTTATTCCAAAGATCTCCAACTGTTACAAATGACAAAGATGGCAGGTTGACTATGAAGTATTCAAAATTTGTCCAGATGTTCGAAGATTTCTACTAACTCCTCTGGATATTTTCAAGACTTCAGACTGATCAAGTTAATTATTCCATAAGCCATAAATTTTAATGGCGTCTCTAAGATATTCTTCGAAAATGATAGGTTGATCAGGAAGTATTTGATATACCTCCAGCTAAATGAAGACTTAAGTAAAGGCCTGTACATACTTTTCAAGATATTATTCACATGACTCATGATCCAAATCAAGAATGAGCTTAAAGCTTAAAGTCAAAATCTTCAATTTATTGGCAAAAATATTCCTTTGTCTTCTAGAAACCCAAAAAGCCGTCGGAAGCATTTTCCAATTTCAACATATATCCACAGACAAACAGACATAACTCTCACCATTACATTCTTCACAAATAAGATTTTAGTTGGGAATGTGCTAGCATTTGTCATGGTGGCGCCACTGAAGCGTTAAGTAAGCCACTATATTTTGAACTAATCAGTGATGCCTGTTCTTTTTAAAGTCAATTTAGTAGATGTCAGCTCTTGAGAATGATAAGAGGACCAAGGCATCCCACTGAAGACATATACAGTAATGACCCAATTTTGTCAGCCCCCTTTTTGAAAAACTTTTCTAATGTTCTACGATACCCATGCGCTTTTTTAGTGGTCTTATTGCCGCAAAGTATACTTTAAACACCTATCTCCAGATACATGAGAATGATTAAGAATTAAGATTTTATGAAATTATTTAATGATAAAAGTCTGATGCGCGGCGGGGCCGACAAAATCGAGTCATTACTAAACCACATACTAATCTGATGAGCACAGAATACATATTGTTTGCTATGTACACATTAAAGTGATGACGGTGTTAGAAAGGGCATTCATTAGTGATGCATTACCACGTTTAACAACTTGTTTCCAGCAAAAGAAAAATCACACTAAACAAAACAAATCCTTCAAAAAGACTGAAATTCAATCAATTCTACGGAAAATTTCGTAGAACCTACATCACTGACTTCCATCTGTTTTGTTTTTATTCAACACAGCTGACACGTTGACAGAACAAGGGTTGTAAAACCGTGCTTGGGAGTGTGCATGATAGAGGGTGCTGGTGTGCCTGCAAAATACACTCGACAATATTTTTTGAAGAATTTTCTTCTAAGAGTTATGTCTGTTTGTCTGTGATATATCTTTAAATATCTTCACAAATCATAAAATGTCTTCAAAATGTCTGCGGAAAAATAATGCATTAACATAATTACAAATGTTTTAAAATCTGGCATCCCTGAGCCTAATATGGAGTACATAACCAATATGTCCTTGTAACAAGTTATAATTATCGGCAAGAAAAATGTTGTCAAGGTAACGTTATAACATGTTATAACTCTCAAGTCTGAACGTAGCATTAGATCCCTCTATCCCTCAGTCAAAATCAGTCAATCAATCAAAATGCTGATTAAGGTTCACTCATGTAAGCTGGATTTTCATAGCCTAGATTCGATGAATCAACTAGAAACGGAACGTTTAATACTGCATGCAAGATTTAATCTACTGGTTGAAAAATCATTTATATTTCTACGCTGTGAATCCCAGTTATAGTTAAGTTCATGTAAATTTACGCAAAATATCACATACACCGCCATTGTCCATATAATTTCCGACTAAACTTGTTAACACTTCCGCTGTTCCTGCCAAGATCAGATTAACAATGCAGGAGAGATATGTTTCCGAACGATTTATATCAATACTTTTTAGTGTGGATTACTGCGACAACTTCAAATTTCAGTTCTCTGTAGACATTTTTAGTCTGATTGTTTTTTTTTCAAATAAAATTTGGTTAAATTTTTTGCACATACAACACCGGATTACGAAAATCATTTCCAGTTTATTAACTATTCACTGATACTCACTTTCAAGGAAGAACACAGCCGCGCAGATTCCAACCATGAAGACGATGCTCATCGTCATGATCAGTATCGTGATCTGGTGCCCTCGGGAGCAGATTCCGCTCTTGGGCAGCCGCTGCGGTCCACCCACCCCGTTGACCATGGTGAAATGCGTTGAACTGGCCATTGATACCGAATCCGGATCTTTGGTTTTCGCTGATCGATGGAACGACGGCAGCGAGTGGCGATGCGCTTGCATTTCCTCATCCGACGGCGACTGCTGAGCCGAATCCGAATGGATTTCCTCGATGGAGATGATGGCCGCCGCACTGATCGGTTGCTCCGTTGCCTGTTGGATGTCCTCCGGACGGGCGTGCTTCATTGTGATATTACTGTTGTACTTACTGCCTACGGCGTCCAGGATGGCCGCCGTCGGTACGATCCCAACCGTCGACGACAGGTATTCCTCCATTGCTTTGCTGGTGCCGTAGCTGGAATCCTGCTTCTTGTGGATTTTGGCAAAGTTCTCCAAGTTCGCTACTGTCAACAGTAGCGAGCCGGATGACGCGCTCTGAAAGAGTAACAAAAAGACATTCTCAGCCAGTGATATCGAACTGATGTTTGAACTAGGTGAAGTGCGAGGAGTTGGATATGAGTGCTATCATACATCGTCGATCGTCGTCGTCATCGTCGTAGGCGTCTTAGTTTTCGGATGCCTAGCCAAAGGGACATGCTTGACTGAGCTTAGCGAATGGTGCCGCAATAGGAATGTTCAAGTTTATACGTATCAAATTAATTTATGAATGAAACTATTATCACGTTTTTTTTTGACTTGTAGAGAAAGGGAATCTAGGAATAAACTTGAAAAATCCAACCCCGATGGTATCCAACTTTCCCACTAGGAGCATAGCTTACTCACATGAGAACTATGACTACTGTCCGTCGATCCTTGCGACGACCTTGAGCCACGTTTTGGTGTTTTCGCACTGGTGCCTTTCTGCCTACCACCGCCGCCGTTCTCAGTTGGAGTTGTACGTTCATAGGTGTCCAAACTTTTGCTACCGCTGTAGGCAAGTCTACCCCCACCAAAGACGAACTGGCTGCCACCGTTCTGTTGTCTCGGACTTGGACGTCTACTTCCGCCAACACCTCCGCCAACGCCACCACTGCCACCCCTGCCAACGGCAGCGGACGAACTGTACTCATCGAAGCGTTGCTTCAAGTCATCCATTTTCGAAACACTCAACTGGACAATATGGTGCATACTATGACGTCGTCGATCGGCCTTGCGATCGTCCTGATCGATCGGATAATGTGATGTTTCGAACACAAAACCACCCCCATGACCAGCGCCGCTACGCTGAAATGACGACTGTTGATGGTGCTGCTGCTGCTGCTGCTGATACGAGTAGCCTGTTGGATCGTACTCGTTGTGATGCATAAAGCTACGGTTGGCATAGGCAGCCCGTTCCATCATCTTGTGGCGGTAGTTCCGGTCCGCTGCTTTGGTGGCGCTGGTGGTGGATCTCTTATTGCTACTGTAGGTTTTTGGTTGATAGTGCAGTTGATGGTGTTGGGTGGCACTATCGAAATAGTTGTACGCCGGGATGTGCTGAAGGCTGGAGTGCGGAGAACTCGCACTGCTACTACTACCACCGTCAGGACCACCGGATAGGAAGTCTAGCGTTCTGCGGGAGGGCTTCTCCCATTCGTTGGCCATCTGCGGGAGGTTGGAGAAAGAGAACAGGGAAGGGGTAATTAGATGGATTGTTTCAAGTCTATAGTTGTGGTGAAGTTATGATAAAAATTGATTTCAGATTATTAAATCTTCTAACGGGTGTTCAATAAAAAATTAAATTTTTTTCAGTCATATAGCCAGCAAAAAATTTTTTTTTCATCGAATTCAGTATTTTTTTTTAAAAATTTAATGTTTATTCTTCAAAAAAAAAACGTCAATGAATATTGGAGAAGGGGCCCTGGTTAGCCGTACGACGCAACTTAGTCGCGATGCTCTCACAAGAGCGCTGGACGGCACTGAAATCATTCTCATTTTTTATTGAACACCCGTTAGTTAACAATTCTACTCATAGGGAGAGGTAGCCAATTTTCTAGTAGAGTGACGTGCTATACTGTATGCTCGATCGAAATGACTTTTTCCAAGCCAATTTAACCGTTTCCTCACTCTACTAATACACGCACTCTAAATGATGCAATATTAACGATCAATTACATGCAATTCAAGGTTATTACATGTCTATTTCTCACCTATGGTCGGTTCCGTAAGGTTGAGAGAAATATATAGGCTATAGACCAAAATGTGGTCGGTTGAAAACTGTGGAAATGCTCAAGAGTCAACGAATCTTATACGGAATTAAATTTTACTTAATTCGTCATTAAGCTTTAGAATTACAATTGGCCGAGTACCACTAGACCGAAGACCATTAGGCCATATGTGATTAGGCCAAATGGGTTATAATACAAATCTTATTGGTCATCTCCATTTGAAACAAAAATTACTTGCAGCAATTAGCATTAGCATTAACATCGAACAAGTTGCACAATAATCGTAGGCTGTACGAATTCAAAACTATTAAGAGCAAGACTATCTATCACTGGACAGATAGTAAATAGGAAATAATTAGTATCTCCCAGATAAAGACATATCTCTCTCCAACAGTTAAGGATAAGGTATGGTATGTTAATTCTACATTTACTTAAAGACAAAACATTATTGACCAATACTAATTTCCACCACTGTTTCAATGAAGGAGAAATCTGCTTTGAAATGTCATTTATCAATAAAGGGTTTTGGAATATTTTTCACAAATTCCTGACTTCTTAAAAAAAATGCTCAGTTTTGAATTTGAAATAATAAGGTCTTCTAAATCCATGGTGATGATAGGTTTTTGGATTAAAATCGTCAAAATGGTTCCAAGTCCGGCGTCTTGAAATTTTTTTTCCAAGATAATTTCTATACAGGTTTGAATCGTCCTGGAACGGCTTTCAACTTTTGAATGTATTGAATAAATGTTGTACAATTTTTATGTTAGGACGTGGCACTCTTCATCATACTTCATTTTGATTAGTTACACCCTCTCCCCACTCATGGATTATTTTCTAGAAAAAAGTTTTAAAAAACCTGGACTTTTTTTTCAGAATCGCAGTCCACCAGTTTTCATCATAATTCCATGAAAAGTCCTTTCCGTTAAATCCTTCCAGAGATATTGTTTTCAGAAGGAGATTTCTCGACTTTATCACTAAAACATTGCAAAGCCTCTTCCATTTTTATTCCCTTGGAGAAAATACCAAATATGTTTTTGCAATTATGGAGCATGGTGTTTTTGTTCAATTCTGAAAAACGATTTTGTTTATAAATAAGAGCAGAAACTCACCTGCCCCTCTGCCTCTGGAGTTCGAAAGTGCAAAGTTACTAAGTAAAAACTCGTCAAATTTGCCCATATGATATGTTGCCCTTGTCGTGAACCATTTTCGGCACCCCTACGTCCCAGCACTTGAACAAAAAGTGAGTTGATAGTTGAGAAATACAATCATAATAATGGTTTCCTTTTCTTGATAAGCTTTCCGCAAAATCCGCGCAACAGAACTATAAAAACGCGACAAACGTAAATTTCGCGTGAAACACAAATTCCGCGCCAGCTGTAACAACGCTGCCATTGTGGTACTGGGCACTGGATATGATCACCATTTTTTTTCCTTGATTTGTTTTCCGTGCTGAGCACCAATGCTACCGACGCCAGGGAGGCAGATGCCACACCTGGACCCTACCTATCGACCCATCAACTCATGGACCGGGGACCAACGGCTTTACTTCCCTTCCAAAGGAAGGCGTGATCAGAGATGTTATGCCTCAGAACATCCCGGCGGCGCCGACTGGGATTGAACCCAGGCCTGCTGGGGTGAGAGGCAATCACACTTACCACTACACCACCGGCGCCGCTGAACCATTGAACTTGTTTTTGAATTACCGTGTGATTTGTGGTGACCTAGTCAAATATGGCTTCTCCCGCGGGGGCATCCGATACATGTCCGATTACATTGCGTTCCGCTACAGATGGAATATGTGTGCCTCGTCTTCCTACATCCTTTCTAATCATTTCCCTGACGGGTAGGATTAGAACACAATAGGAATGGGAATGTGAAGGGAAACAGAGGTTTATGAAAATTATCACATCTCCCAAAAGGAGTATTGCATCCCATGAGCTCCTTGCCCCAATGGGTTAAAACAAAAATAAGTCCTCAAGGTTAAGTTTTTAAAATCAAGCTCAATTAATAAGTGCTAATCGAATCGATATCGGAATAGCTGGCTCAGGTCCTGTGAAATCAAGTAATGCACAAGTGCGTGCTAGTTCATCTGTCCATTCATTGCCTGCGTCACTCTTCCAAACCAAATAGATAGCAGCCTGGCTATCTATCAGCATTATACTTTACCCATTACATTTTGGTGAAGTGCAGATTGCACTCCGGCTCGACACATAATGGTAAATATCTGTAAATATGAATTTCTGCCTGAAAAGCAGTGCAATATCTACCTATGGTAATCTGCCAATTGTTGTACAGCATGTACTTTTTGTTATTTTGCGTTTTTAAGATATTGAAATGGTTTTTGAAGTAGTGTACAGTACAGTGCTCATCAGCATTTTATATTCGTAAAATCATTCTGTATAATACAATTGTTGAATGTTCCTCAGAGTTCAATTGTTGCACGCATCATTTGCTTTGAAGTGCTATTATTGCAAATTTTGTACCTAATATCCCGTTCACATTACAGCGTATATCAAGTGATATACGCTGTCTTGCAATGAGCACTCATACATCTAGTTTTCACTGGAAATCCTATGTATGAGTGCTCATTGCAAGACAGCCTATATTACGTGATATAGGCTGTAATGTGAACGGGGTATAATTCAACACCCAGATACGATGTTATATAAGAGACGCGCGGAGAGAATAAAAGTAAATCTGGTTGCATGGCCAACTAATTTATTTTTCTGCAAGGTTTGGCAACCCACAGTTTTGTATTTACTTCAAGTGACTTTTTATTTGAGCGACTGTCGTCTGCTTCAGCATCACGGTAAAATGAATACTTTTTCAACCGTATCGGTAGTCTCGTCGGTAGTATCGCTATTCAATGGAAGTATTTGAAGACTACATTTTTGACAAATCTGAGTGAAACCAAATATACTACATTGGAGGGTATATTCTACAGAGCGTTGCACAAAATTATTCAATCTGCGAATTGTAGCTTCCTATCATGTATGAGTGAAATCTCTCTTTTGAAGTCTTTCACAAATTTTACAATCTTGAAAAATTACACCGATCTTTGTAACAAAGCCTATGTAGATGTATTTCGTTGTGCTGGAGCAAATATTTCGTGAGAACATAACGAGAATTCAGCTGGTGAATAGCAATAATATTCCGTGTTGAATTTCACTTTCCATACGCAAACTTAATTATTATTATTTAAATCTCAACAGTTAACCAGCGTCTGGCTGAAAATCTCCTTCATAAAGACAACAAACCTCAAACATTAAATTCATCCCCAATCTCAATACTTTCTACGCTTTTCTTCGTGAAGCTCTCGTGTTTATTTACATTGCTCGATTGGAACCGCGTGTGACGGTTCGATTGGAACTTTTGGCTTCAGTCTTCGCGCGTCTCTTATTTAACATCGTCTCTGGCCACACATATAAAACATGGCTAAATGCATCTTGGAATGATATTTTTCAGCAAGAATAATCATTGAGTGATTCTGTTAGATGATTAAACGTAACGTTTTCGGTTTGTTTACTGGCGATATCAGCTATTTTATTGATTTAATTAATGCGGTTAATAATCGAAGCAAAATATACGCAGCAACAGTTTTATACGAAATGTTGCATACTTTCAGGCATTATCGCTATAGACAATAATCCAGGACTAAGCGTCCAAATGTGATCCATCCATATTTTTTCTGAAAATTTTACAAGGATGATAGATGTATTGCAATTGATCGTTCGATAAAAAAAATAACCATCATTTTCCTGTAAATATTTCTTAATTTAATTGAATTTTGAGCTTGGAATAGCTTATTTTACAACTGAAGATTATTACCAGAAAAATTAAGAAATCGCCGAAATCATATGAACAATTTCAACAATATTTAAAACATGGCCGGAGATAAACGCTGCTCAGTAAACAATGTGAAGTGTACAACAATTGGGTGGTGTTCAACAATTGGCAAATTAGCCTAGTAAGTTTGTTGTAGCCTCAGCTCACGAGCAGAAACCAGCGATGACTTCCATATTGGCTGACATGCATTACAACTTCAAATATTCTAGAGCACAAATCTGGACATCAGAAGCCACTCATCCGCCTTCGCGTTTCACCTATAGATACACGCTAACTTGAAAGTACTCATTAATGAGTAAAAAAAGACCCATTTTGAAGAAAAGTGGCTTAACTCATTAATGATTAAACAATTTTACCCATTAATGAGTATCTGTTACCCATTAATGATTAACAATTACTCATTAATGGGTAACAGATACTCATTAATGGGTAAAAAATTTACTCATTTAATGAGTTAAGCCACTTTTCTTCAAGATGGGTCTTTTTCAACCATTAATGGGTACTTTCAAGTTAGCGTGTACTATAGATTCCATAAGCACAAAAAGTTGTTTTGGCTACCATGAATAATAAATGATCTTACTGGCATCCGTG